CAGTCCCATCCCAGCATCATCATCCACAGTCCCATCCCAGCAGCATCCACAGTCCCATCCCAGCATCATCATCCACAGTCCCATCCCAGCAGCACCCACACTCCCATCCCAGCAGCACCCACACTCCCATCCCAGCAGCATCCACAGTCCTACTCCCCAGCACCATCATCCACAGTCCCATCCCAGCGGCACCATTCACAGCCCTACCCGAGTGTGCAGGTCTTAAGTTCTCCACATTCTTGTCACCTTTGTTATTCTCTGTGTTTTCTTTAAAAACCAACCATCCCAATGTGATGTAGTATGAATTTCATTGGAATGTATTATTTTGGTTTCAAGTTTATTGTACCAATTGCCTGAGCATTCCTTAATATAGTTGAAGTGGCTTGGCTTATGGGTTCTCTGTCTCACCTTCACATCCTTGTCTACTGATGAATGAGGGAGCAGGGAGGATGACTCCTCAGCTAAGAGCAATGTGTTCAGGCCTGGATTTGGTAGTTGCCTGACTGTAGCACTAAGGCTATAGTCAGAGCCATGATACCTCTGGCTCCAATAGTACAGAGGACACACGGAGGCTCTCTGGAAGTATGTTTTCTTTTGAATGAACTTATTTTCACTTATTTACCTATTGTTTTAATATATAGAAAGCAAAGACTGAGCCAAATTCAGAATTAATCAATTGCTTTCAAATCCTATTATGCATGGCACCTTATGAGCACTCTGGGGGAATAGAATCAAAGGGACAGAATATACAGAAGTCTAATTCTCCTACTCCCTGGAGATGAGGAGAGTGATACCACCATGTGGATCTGGAGAATGAGCACACTGAGGGACAGACAGGGTGAGATGGTACCTGAAGGTCACAGCTGCCTATAGAGGGTGGGAAGGCTCCTCTGAAAAGGATAACAGCAGGGGCAGGCTCTGACATACTCCTTGGAATGCCTATTCCAATGCCCTCTCCTCGCGGGGCACATCCCAAACAACCTCAAAACTACAAGGCTAGAACTGAGAATACAGAGTCAAATCTTGTCTCTAAACATGCTGTTCCCTTGTCCCAGGGACCTAGCTCTACAATATCAATTTTGGAGATCAAGAGACTATGTACCAAAGCTCTGTGTGGTTTAAAGGAAAACTGGGGCCTTTGTGTGTGGCTCACTCCTTCCTGCACTATGGACAAACAACCATTGTTTACCTGCTAGGAAGACATTGGTAAAACGGACATAAATCCTGTTTATTATCACTAGACAACTTAGCAAGTGCTTCTTGGTGGTACCTGGAGCAGAAATGTCAACATTGTTGTGTGGACTTTTTCAAGGAAGCAAACAAGCATCTACCCATCTAGGATATGGCTCCAATGGCAGGTCAGAGAAATGATTCTGTTTAAGTCTAGCTCGGTGAATCAGAGAGCCTAACCAGAGTCCCTTAAAGGAGCATGGCAACTTACAAGTGCCTGAACAGCTAAAGAAATGTCTTGCCCAGCAGCCGTTAACCAGCTCCATCTATTCAGGAGGGGGTCAGGCCTCATTTTTCCATAGCAGACCTTAGTGGGCCTAGTCTCTTGTGAATCTCATGCAGGTTAGCATGGCTCCTAAAAGTCCAAAGGGCAATGGGCATGTCATTACTGGAGGGCAGCATTCACGACATTCTCCCCTTTCCTCCTGGTCTTACATTATTTCTTCCCCTCTCCTTTACTATTCCCTGAGGTTTAAAGGGGATAGTTCAGATGTCCCTTTTACTGGTGGGTGTTCAGCAGTCTTATTTTCTCAGGGTTTTTTGACCAGGTGTGAGTCTCTATTGTCACTGGTGACCACTGCATATAGAAGTTTACTTGACCAAGGATGACAGCAGCAATATCCGTGAATGTAAACATAAATGCCGAGAGGACAATTTGACAGACGCATCACATCCATTTAGCAGAACAACAATAGTTGTTTCCCCACTAGGGTCCAGGGCTTTCCCATCTATCTGCTTTTGACTGGACTCCTGGGTACCAGATGTGAATTCCTTTCTGTGGATTGAGCCTTAAGGCCAGGGAGAAAGCAGTTAGTTATACCATAAAAGTCATGATTGTACAAGTGGGTGCATCTTGCCTAGCAAGTTGGTAGTGCAGTGTGCAGAATCCCTAGCTGCGTAGGGTTGTTGGCAGCAATGCTCTCCAGCAGCTTCTGCCAGAAGCTTCCGTCTCAACCTCAGCTTCATTTCTCTGCCCTATAATCAAGGCCTGCAGAGTTTTCAGTAATAAGGTCTTATTGTCTAGTTCCAGTGGGAAACCGACAGCCAAATTAATAGCCTGTATTTTGGGGGATTCTCAGGGACCTCCCTGGTTAATAATTTGTAGGAAGGTGAACTACTCCTGGTGCTGGGAGTTTCATCTAATTACTTTGTGGCTTCTGGTAGCATCTCTGGGTCACTGTCCCTCCATCAGTCCTACCTGCTTGCTGAGAGGGCTGTGGCCTGGAAATAGTTTCCAACTGCAGTACATTTTCTTGAAGGCAAGACATGTGCACCTACTTCTCGGGGTGGTAGTGATGATAAGGCTGTACTCCTGGGACAAGATTAGTCTTTTCCACCTGCAATGTTATGTCAGAACTCTGGCCTTATACAAATCTTATCACATTTGATTTTGAATGACCCAAAAAGGACCTTTCCCAATACATAAAGGCCATTTCTTACAATGTGATTCATCAGAACTACAGAAGCCCCATACCTGGTCCCTGACAAGTCAACTGTTTTCTTAACTGGGAACACAGGACTACTTGGCCCAGTGAACTGGGCTAAAGACATTGCCTCACTCATGCTTAACTCTGCCATGGCCCCTGTTCTTTCTCTATTGACCCTGCGTACCTGGTCTTCACAGACACCTCAGGTGGTAATAACCAAATATCCCTCATGTTGTTTCCAATTATGAAAGCTTTGTCTTATTCAGTTTCCACACTTTAGCACTCAGACTGATCTTACCTCCTCCCAAGTCCCACAACCTCGTGAGCTGTGCTGTGAGAGTCTCTTATTTCTTTTCCAGTTTAAGCAGCTCTAGGGGCATATTATTCTCTGATTATCAGTGGCCTGTACAGTTCCCTACTATAACCTCTATCTGTGTGGTGTACTAGGGATGGATTTTCCTTCCTATATATTAAAAGTCAGACATGAGGGGCACAATCTGTCACTTCTACCTTACGGTCTCCCTCCTCACTATCTTATTTTCCCCAAGGATTCAAATTTTCAAGAAGAGACTTGTGAAGGTCGGTCTTAGTTGTTAAGTCGAGTGCATCTAGAATCAACTAAAACCCAAGCAGCTGGACATTCCTGTGAGGATTTTTCTCGACAGGATCGTTTGAGGTGAAAAGGCCCATCCTAAGACTGGGATCTACCTTCTCATGGAAGCCCATGTCAGAGGACATAGAATAAGGAAGTTTTCTCTTCATGCCACCTTGTCTTCACCCTTTCAAGCTCAACCATCCTGTTGCATTCCTCTACTGGCAGTGGAAGTGACTTCTTTGGGGTTCCAGTGTGGACTGAAGACCAGCTGAGACATCCATTCTTGAAGACTGAACAACTACCAGATAGATTTCCGACTTTTCCTCTGTGGGTGGGGCCAACCACTGTTGGAATAACCAGACCACAGTCTGTAAGCC